CTTCCGATTGTTACGTGATCCAAGATGGCAGTGACCCCTCCCCTTTCTTTTGATGTAACTTCTGCAGAGCGGTTACCCCGGGTTACTACTTAGAAAGTGGTAGGTATAGGGCGTCATCGGTCATTGGCATAGGGCGTGGCCGTTGAGGTGGAAGAATAATTGAGAGGAAAGCGGTCGTGGCTCAGGAAGAAGCCTATAAATGCTCGCCACCTGAGAGTAAGGGTGCGGTGGTGCGCTCTCTAAGGTGGCAACCGGAAACGCCAGTCACATTGTGTTTAGCTTGCTCCTTTTGGGTTGAGAATAAGCCTTTGAGTGCTTTTGTCATTTACTTTTTTCATGCCTTCTGAACGCAATATTTAATGCTTGCCGTACGGGCATAAAAAACGGTACTTTAATTAGTATAGTAATGGCCGTGATTATGCATTGTCTTGACTAATATAAGCTATTGTCGAACTCATTTACTATCTCAGTTTGAAATACTTTTTGTAACTCTTAAAACGACTGCATAACTTAATGTAATCTAAAAATGTAAGAATGAAAACAAAAGTACACGAATTGTTTCAAGACACAAAATCTTGTTTTTCGGCGAACAAAACATTTAGAAGACTCTTGAAGGAAATTTAAAAGGCTTATATTGGTTTTTAACTTTCATCTAATTGAGTGAGTGAAATAAAATGAAAGTTTTATAAATCAGAATTTGACCAAAATCCAGCAATAAATTTAAGCACCGAAGTATACACTAATTAACATCAGTGAATAATAGAACTTTATTCTCGGAATTTAGGCTAAAAATATTAATTTCTGTGTGTTAATATTTTATGATTACATTCTGTTATATTCTATACATTTTAAACAAGTGTGAAGAGGAATTAATTATGTAGTTACTCATAAATAAACTTTCTGTTACTGTGATTGTTATTCAGTACGAGAAGCTAATTCGGATAAAACGTATTAATAACATTTTAATACTGAAATGTATTTAGATAGCTATGGAAAAAAATCTACATTTATAAAAGCTAGAAATTTTAATCCGAATAAGTATTATTCAATAATATCCATCACAGTCATGAATGCATGCGTACTTTAAACTCCTTACCAATTTAGTTGTTTTAATATTAAGCTTTTCTGATGCCTTAAAAGACAAGAAATTCTAAAGTTTACAAAGATAAAATATGCACGGTTTCATTTATTTTGAATTAATAGCTAAGGTTTTAATTATGTTGTCTTATTTCAGTGTTATTTGCTGTTTATCAATTGCTGTTTAGCAAAACGGTACTATTCATCGTTTTCTGTTAAAAATTATAAATAATTATATGCTTTCCGAATGCAAAAAATTATGATTAAAAATATTGTAAGACTTATGGCATGGTTTTATATATTTACCTTTGTTAAATATAGACGTAGACAAATACATTTTATTTGATTGCATAAAGGGGCGCACATTTACCTCTTTGCTTCAGGTGAAAAGATACCTAGGCATGTCTCTGGCTTTTACTAAGGAAATGATAGTTACTAAATTTTGAGTTAGATCTGGGCAATGGTAAACTGTTTATTGGAAAACTCTGATAACGTGTTAAGAGAAATTCACTGAAAACTGTTTCTGGTTAGACAGATGAAAGCTATATACCATGTCCACAAAAATCATTACCAGCCTTTATTTTCTCAACAGTTGAGCACAAACATCATCTAATTATAAAAAAAAATTAAACGACTCAAAGATTCATATTTATTTTTAAATTTAAAGAAATCACTTTTATAAAAATCACGAAATCTAACTTTTTACACTTTCTTCCGGTCCGTTCGACTCCCGTCCGAAAAAAAAAAAAAAAAAAAAAAATGACCGAGATATTTTATTTTAAAATCGTGAATCTCATTCAGTGGCCGTACAGAAATCAAAGAGCGAAATGTTTGCTTTGTACACAAATAAAAATAAGAAAAAGTTTTCTGATTTTAGGCTGTTGCGTGACAATCATTTCGATGCGGATTATTGTAAAAATAATGATCAATGTAATATTTTTAAATGGATATTTTATTCGCAAAATCTTACAAAATTCGTTTTCTATAAAACACTGGCAGGCTTCAGTATTGGTACGTAGCCAACTCGTAATATTATTTGAATAAATTAAAAAGGAATTTTTTATTTTAATGAATTTTTACGATTATCAGATTATAATTTTAAAATAATAAAACTTCATAAGAATATTAATGACGCATTTTTAAATTGACTTTAAAAATTTATAAATTACTTGTGCGAAATTTTTTCGGCATACCAAATGTAACAAAATAATAAATAAAGTAAATCACAAAAGAATATCATCGAATGACCTTAAATGGCATCGAATGGCTTTTAAATTGAGGGAAAAAATTCAACCTCGATTTATTCTAGTTTATTTATTTACTGGTCCCTGAATGCAACTTAAAAATGACGTCAAATATCGCAAATTTGAAATCAATATCTCAGTTAATTTTTGCCGTACGGGAATCAAAATTTTGAGTTTTATTCTTTAAAACAATTATAAAATTTTCCTAAATATATGTAAGAATGAACCTATGAAAAGTTAGATTTCGTACTTTATTTAAAATTATTTTCTTTCCTTTATTTAAAAGCACAAAAATATGAATATTTTCATCGTTTAAAACATTTTTATAGCTGGAAGGATTCGTTTACGACGAATGGTTGCAAAATGAAAAATCGGGAAAGGACTATCCTTCCAATATAGAAATGTTCTTCTAACTGTGAATAATTGTTTTGCATTGCAAAGTTTATGTAACATCAGAGTCAGCCTGGCCACAAACTCTATTCTGACTCATTTATTGCATAATTTAGAAAAGACTATAATAGTTGTGTTCGGAAATAATTAACTTTTTAAATCTTATAGTATGTCAAAGGGATATTTCTACTAGAACGTTTGCGACGTCCTTAAATTTTTTAAAATCTTGCAGAGACCATTTCTAAGGTCAGTGTTACTGGGCACTTGTTATTCGTTTTTCATTTCAGGAAACAGATAAAGGGCAATTGTTTAGGGTTATACTTAAACAGTTGCAATATTGGTTGATTCTTTCTTCGAGTTTTGAGTTGTGATGTAATGATTAGTACTTTTAAGCTTCTTCTTATTGACATCAACTTAGAAAATACAGTAGACAGGCACAACTCTGCAGAACTAACTTTTTCAGTTCTCTTCTGGGGATTGAAATTCGTTTCTGAGCTCTGCATCCAACAAAGAAAGGTTACACCAAATTTCTGCTCCTTTAAAGGCAGGTTGTGTTGGAAACGCATACAATAAAATTGAGGAAGCCCCAAATTTTTAAAATCTGCAGATTCAGTATCCGATAATAACATTCAATAGATTCAGACATGCAACACTTTCGTATAAATCTTAACAGAGCCGCACTCAAAGAAATAGTTCCAGGTTTTCCTTTGGCGATAACTAACCATTTAAAGGGTGAAAATCAAGAAATGTTCCATTCTCGATAGGATGAACAATAAGATGCTCAAAAATTTACCAAGGTGTATTTATTTAAGCTTTTAAAAATCATCAATTTAATACTTTATTATTTTTCGCATTTCAGGAAAACTGTTTTCTGTACTCGAATATTCAATTAAAATGAACCTACAAGGTACTTCAAACAGCTGTCATCAAATTAGTTTTCGAATATCTCTCAAGTTCATGCCACATTTCCGCAAGGACAAAAGAGAAAATGGTATTCAGGGCCAGCACTTTCAAGAGGACCTCCAAATCCTCCTATAGCCTATAAGGTAGTTCTCCCGCCTTCTTAGATGCCTTCGTGGTGTAGTGGTCAACACGCTCGGCGCGTATTCCAGAGGTCCATGGTTCGAGTCACGGAGAGGGCATTGCTTATTTTTCATCTTTCATGTTTCGAAATAACCTAATGTCTCTATAGTGGCACCCGAACTAAAAAAGGTGGTGGATGATGATTCTCCACCACCAAAATTTGGAGACTAGGTCTCCTAATCCCCAGTCGCCTTTTAAAAAGGGGGGGAGTATATAAGGTATTTCTCCCGCCTTCTTAGCATGCCTTCGTGATGTAGTGGTCAGCATGCTCGGCGCGTATTCGAGAGGTCCGTGGTTTGAGTCCCGGCGAGGGTATTGCTCATTTTCCATCTCTCCTGCTTCCAAAAAATACCTAATGTCTCTACAAGCATTTAAAATAATAAAATTTCATGCATATTTTCAATTTTAGGATATTTGCTACGTTGAAAAAAAAAATAATGGAGTTTGGGTCCGTAATACATTTGCGCTGAGCTTCCAGTTTATAAATCGAACCCTGTTCAAGGCTGCCATTCTCGATAGAACACTCACAACACTATAAAGTTAGAAACAATTTCCATATTCCCTTTTGATTCGAATTTAACAAAAACTATCACTCTCAAATGAGATACAATGACGGGAGACTACTTGGTGGTAGGTTATCTGAATATGGCAAAGCCAGAACGGCTATCTGCCTAAGAGAATGAATGCCTTCTTGAAGACTTTTTAAGGAAAAATAGCTCGTATTCACGTTAGACATCGGGAAGACCAAGAAAACCATTTATGTAGCCATCTCGTTCGCGTGGGCTCAAACCTGAACAGGTCGAGCTACCAATATTCAGCAGTCTTTAACCACGCGACCTCTGGTGGGGCGAGACACTACCGGAAGCGTGTTATCAGATATAGACAAAGTCTTCAATGATACTCATTTGAACATGTTCATAGATAAAGTAATTATCCTTTGTTAGAAGACATCATAAGGGTGATTATTTTCTGTCAGTTTAAGGGTATACACACTTTGTTACTAGCTTTGGAGGAAGGAGGAAGGAATCCTAAGAACTATAGCCAGAAGACGCAAGGGGAAAATTGAAGTTTAAAATTACTTTCAGTCCTTGTATAGACTGAAGATTTAATGCTTCAATTAAAGATTGACAGGCTGAGCTATAATTAACTATACATTTGTAAGAATTTTATGTGTATGTGAACATACCTTACATAAAAACACTGAAGTATTTGAAAATATATTTTATTATAAACATATTAAAGAAATCGATATAAAATACGATGACAACAAACTTTCCTTAATTTAAATAATTTCTTAGAACAGCACTTCGATGCATCTTTCTCTTCTTTTCTTATATTACTTCTCTCTCTTTCTTCTTGAACATTTCATAACACAGCTCATGAGCATGACTCCAGAATGGAAGCGAAATGATATTTAAATAACATATCAAAATTACATGGTATTAAAATATTATTCAGCGGTGGCATTTTCTGTAAGGTTGCTCATTTAACTTATCAAAACTATATGATGACTTTTTATATTAACTTTATGATGACTATGATACCATTGAAAACGAAATGGCAAGCAGAACGTAGAAGTCTATCAGTCTCATGCTTCTACATATCATCTGAAGGAAAATTTAATACAGCATCTTTTATTGCTTTGGCAACATATTCTACATTTTTGTCGTTCAGTCCGCAGATGTTTATTCTTCCAGCTGTTGGCAGGTATATGTGATAACGCTGGATCAAGTATTTCACTTGTTGCTCTGTGGAATGAAACATAAAAATGTATTAAAATTATTATTAGTATTCTGTATGAAAAGTTAAATGAAAAAAAGGAAAAGCATATTACATTATCATGTTCTTAGAGATTCATTTCGCAGTATAGTGGAAAATATTTATGCAAACTTAGTTTATATATATATATATATACATCTAAAAACTCAAATTTCCTTTTCGGTAAAACTTCGAAATTTCAAAAGAAGAATTTTTTTAAAGAATTTCGTGTGAAACTTAAATTGTAAAAAATAGCTCATTGATTTAGAAATTATAAATGAAATAAGATGACACAGAGAGTAAGACAAATATTGTGGGAAAGATCCGCGTTTTAATGTGATGTTATGCGGCAGCTTAAAGTTTTGTTCTGAAAATAAAACTGCATTAGCAAATTAATATTTTGACTTTGATCCTAAATACATGCCAATGAAAAAAACTAAGACTGTAGTGAAAGTAAAAAGTTTTGAATTTCCTAATGGGAGTACATGAGTCACATTTTAATGAATAAAAAGGCAGCATTTGAAGGACTTGTTGAGAAAATTTTTCAATTCTATAATTATCTGTAATTCTTGAATGTATAATAGAGCATTAGGCGTTAAATAAGCTATATATCTCTCACTGCAATGTATTTCATTAAACGAAAATTAGAGTAATAAATGAAACTGATATTTTAACAAGGTTTTATTGTTAAATCAGCAATTATTTTTTTAAATTTATATTTATTTTGAGCTTTCTGGGTCAGCTTTTGCTTTTAACACATTTTATTGAAGTAAGTCATTTTGAAAATTACATTTTGTTTTAAATATCAGACCTATCAAAGAAATGTCTTTTTTCTCTTTCAAATATATGCATATGTTGATGCATTTTAAAAATATTTTTAAAACAGTATAAGTCTAAAATTTTTGAACAAAATGTGCTGCTTTTAAATGCTGAAAAGGAAATTTAATTCCACATGAATTACCATTACTTGCACATTTTTTTAAATATTTGTATATACCTGTCAGGCCAGAGTAACAAAACATTCCGATCTGCCGAGTGATATGATCCCAAGATCCTGGAGTACCCAATTCTTGAAGTTTGGTTCTTAAAGCCCATCGCATTCTCTTTATACGTATGGAAATGGTTTTCATTTGATTCTTCCTGAAAAAAAAAAAAAAAAAAAAAAAAAGAGTTTGAAAAATCTGAAATGCTGCTGTTTTAAAGAAGCTTTTTAAGTGATTCTGAAATCAGTGTTACCTATGTTGCATGTTTTACGAAAATGGATAATTAGTTGAATGCTGAACTGAGAGTTGGAACTAAAGTTTAGCTTAAGATTGATCAAGAACAGTCAGAAAATTCGTTACTTTAGTTACGCTTTTCTCCTAAAGCTCTCGTCATTATCAGACTTACCTTATTGAGGTCTAAGGAAGAATACAATAATAATTTGAAAAGCTTAATTATGATAATGAATTTTCAGTTTTTGGGAAACTTCCTCGTTTAATGACAGTAGTTGCTCGTAAGAGTTTATTAGGATATTATATGTGGGCAAAATCATTTGTCTGCAGAGGTATAAATAATAGCGATTGAAATATTACACACAGATCTGGCAAAAGGTAGTAAAGATAAAGAAATTCAAGTAAATTTACTTAGGATGATATTAACTCAAATTCCTTTGCATCAATATTACTTACACTTCTCTTCTTGAACAGTTCTTAAATAAAAGAAAACTTAAAAATTTATTTAAAATAAAATAAAATTATTAATTCATACACGTTAAAAGTGCGCAAAAACAAGTACGCTTCTAAATCTTTTTGTATGAATGATTTTATACTTGCAAATTTAAGGTTTTAGTAAATGTAAATTGATTATTTTGTAGGTTTTTATGCTTTCCTACCGTGTACCTCCATTGTGTAACTGTAAAACAAGTCCGGCTAGCAATCGTAAGTTCCAGAGTTCAAGTCCCAGCGAGGGCATTACATATTTTTCACATTTTCTGCTCCGAAATAAATCTAATGACATTAAATTTGGCGCCGAAATTAAAGATGATGGGCGTCACTCCCAGGGGTTGGCAATTGTGACTGGGTTTCTCCTATCGCCCTTTAAGCGCGGGGCATGCAAGTTTTTTCTCTCTGCTTACCGCATGCCTTCGTGGTGTAACTGAAAATACATCCGGTGTGGGCATCGTTGATTTCTTTCGTTTCCTGTTCGAAAGGAAATTCTATGGCTTTGCAGTTTCAGTTTCTACATCTTTTCCAAAAATAAACTGCTTTTGTCACTTTGCTGCTAATGAGAATATGTAAATAAATGAGGTATGAAAAAAAAAAAAAAAAAAAAAAAAAAAAAAAAAAAAGAATTTGACCTACCAGTCGTCGATGAGAGTGGGATCATTGAGAATTCTGGTTGCGATTCCGGCGCCATGTCTTGGGGGATTGCAATAGTTGCCTCGAATCATCATGGTTATATGCGAACGAACATTAGGTATTACATTTGGATCTCTGAACACTAGAGTTAAGTTGCCTACCCTTTCACCTATGGAAGATAAAATAATAAATGTGTTAAATTTGAAATGCAACATATGAATCCAATAAAACCAGAAAAAATAATTTCGGTTCGCTTTTATTTGCCTGTTAAACCGATAAAAAATTGTGAGTTAATAGTTAATTCAACATAAACATCTAATTTTTACTTACTGTACAGCCCCATATTTTTTGAAAAAGACTGCGCGCATAGCAGTTCGAAGCCTCTGGATACGAAGTAACGAACTGGCCATGCATCTTTGTCCAAATCTCCTGAAGCAATTCCTTGATAGGCGCAGTCGAAGAATGGGAATAAATTTCTCTCCTATTTAAGAAGAAAATCAATCTAGATTTCACTATAAACTTATCATATGTTAGGGTAAATTAAAGAGGAATACAGACGTAGTCAGGAAATTTTCTATTTCTCGGACTGTTCAAAAAGCAAAAATACGGAATCGTCCCCCCCCTTTTTTTATTATAATTTAGGACGCAGATACATTCACGAAATTTTCATTCACCCGAAGCGAACAATTATACATAGTAACGATGAAGTGACATAAACCATTAACATACATTTTTGAAATTGTCGTGCATTAAATTAAATTTCTTCTAAAAAAAATAGAAATTTGCAATACCTTGTAAGGATTATCTTAATTTATCTAACAGTTAAATTTTGAGTTAATGTTACTTTTCTATCTCTTCTTAATTTCAAGCTTACAACTGTAGTCCAGAACGTATTTTTAGAATCGCGTTTAAATGCAAATGAGGAGGAATATTTAACTGGGAAGTTCTACCGACTTCGTTAGAGAGCCAGTGATTCTGACTATCGCGCGTTCGCCTTTTTAGGCTACTCTCTCTCTTAAGCTATTACTACGCTCGGTTGTAGTTTAGGCCCTTGATAGCTTCGCCGTTAATTAGCGTTAAGGAGCCAAGTCTGTTAGAATCTTGATAGCTTCAGCTATATCCTTTAGTTAAGTTTTAGTTCTTAGTTTCCTCAGTTCAAGCCCGAGTGGAGGCTTTATTGTAGCTTCAAGAAAGGAATCGTCTGTTAAAACTTTAGTGGAATAATAAAGGGTAATTTCACCCTTTCTTACATTTTTCTCTGTCTCACGAACTCAAGCGATTATTCGCTTATCAGTTCTTAAGATTCCTCAACTTTAGCTACAGATTAAAACGCCTAAGAATCTTACATCCTTTTACATACTTCCATCTCACTGCGAGATTTCATTTTGAAAGTGCGTTAACTGGTTAACTTTTTATATTTTTCTGCCTTTTGTACACTTGTTTCCAGTTTCCTTCTACCACATTATACAAATTTAAATGGGAAGCTATACCGATCTACCTTCAAATGACGCTGTTCCCTGGGCGACGTTTTAAGTGGCAAATAAATCTTGAGATTTGGCATGAGGCTACCTTGCAACCCTTTGCTGTCCTACCGAGAGTATGATTTAAGTAGTTTGTTTCAGAAAAGAAAGTTAAGTTTATAACAATTTGAATAACCGAAAACGTGATTATTATTATTATTATTATCATGATTAGTATTAGTATTATTATTACAGCAGTAAATCTCACAGCGCATATGATAAAATTTTACGACTTACTTCGATATTTCTTGTACCTTCCGTCAAAGCACAGACAGACTGACAGAGCATTTTGGTTTAGCTGAATGATTGTTTGATTGGAGAAAGGCTAAATGTATCTTTACTTGCTCCAATACCATCCTTTTTATTTGTTTAAGTTTGTCACTGCAGTTTTCACGCTACGGCGTTGTGGCAAAAGAGAAGCTAGAGCGAGCATCAGATGAAATCGATTATGGCCTCGAAGATGCTCGTATAGCTGAACTTTTAATGTGAAGTTATCTAAACTTTTAATGTGTGTGTGCAGCTAAACTTTTTTGTGCACTTATAATGTTGAAGAATTCTTTTTTAAATATATCATTAATTCTTTTATATTTATAAACTTGAAAATATAGCAACTGGAAATCGACCTCTGTGTGTAATAGTAACCTCTTGACTGAACAAGACACTTGAATACACATATAGATGGTCCATCAGCAACCCTTTAAAGTTGTATAGGAAAATACGTAAAGAAAGGATGAAAAATTTTCTATTTTCTAGAGGATTGCAAAATAGATTCTTGTTGCGACTGTTCGATAATGAAAAAGGAAATTTTGCATGAGAATGCTTTACAGCACTTTAGCCAGATTCACCACAGATAAGTTTCACAGTTAGCATATTTCTAGTGCGCTGCAGGTAAGCACATGACACTTAGAAATGCAACTATTTTAATAAATAAAATTAAGCAATTACTGTGAGAGTCTATATTTACTCTCACAATTATGAGAGTCAAATAGAAATTGTGAGCAAAATGGCAACTGTGAGTGAAATAACACTATGTGAGTAAAATAGCAAATTCTGCATTGTAAAATAAAAAAAGAAATTATATAAATAATCTTCAAGGTTCGGAAAATATTGAAGGAAAAAACACACGATTCTTATAAAATAAATTTTCTAAATTTTACACTAAATTTTCGAACACATAAGAATGATTTAGGAATACTAAATTCTCCAAATTTTCTGAAAGACATTCGTATCCATCTTTTGTACTTAAAATTCTGATCCTTTTTAGTAACCAAGAGTTATGCTGTCTTCCCTTGTTATGCGTTTGACTTCTTTGCTAATATAAATCTTCTAAATTTGTAGTTCCATACAAAATAAATAAATAATTCTGGAAGTCATATTTGGTTGTTATGCTGATAATGCTATGAAGTTCTGTCAAATGAAAACTGTACAGTGAAACCTTCCGTAATGATAAATCCAGTGGTCGATCACCTCTGATTATAACTAGTATTTTTTACAACATAAATAAACACCTGATCGCTTCTCTAAAGGGCTACCTGCACAGAAGAATCTTAGATTGTCTCTAAAGGAAATCGTAGATTGTCGTCTTCGGAAGATTTCTCTACTTTCTAAATTTTGTCTATTTTAATGAGAGATTCTGGAACATTTTAGGAGCTGTAATTTAAATATTTTTAGGTGATAAACGCATAGAGAAGAAATGTGCAGAAACTTTTATTGATGGAAATAAATCTGGAATTAATATAAGGAGGAGAATATATTTCAGAACTTAGCCCATAATTTTAAAAATATTTTTCAAGTTATTTTTATGCTTTACTACTTGCCTCCATAACATCAGCAATTTTCATCCACTGTTCTTTTGAAGGATCAATGCCGGTTGGATTATGTGCGCACACATGAAGAATTACAACAGAATATTGTGGAGCATCCTGAAAAGAAAAACTTTTCTGTCATTATTCTATTTAAAGGAAAACATTCACTGTAATTTCTTTGTACGATTACTATTTAAACGAACAAAATTATACAGGCACAGTACAAGTATATTAAAAAAACACTTCAGCTGGTGAAGAATATGTAGTATTAAACTCTTTTAGTTAGTTAATATTTAAACTTATTTTTAAGTGGCTAATGTCTAGATATATAGTTTGTTTCATTATGAAAGTTGTCACGCTTTTTAATTACAAATGATAATTTTTTCACCATAATTTATCAAAACTAATTTGCTTAAACTGTAAATGTAGTTAAAATTTTAAATAATAAATATGCAATTTACTTAAGTATAAAAGTAATTTAGGTAAATTATATATGTAATTTACTTAAATCTAAATATCTTTTACTTACATATAACCACATTTACTTAAATTTGATGTTTCATCATTTTGATCCCGTAGTTAAGCAATAAGCTTTGGATTTTTGCATGAGAGTGAAATTTTTTTTATTTAATTATTTTTCTGTATAGCACAGGCGCAAAGAACGGCACGGGGCGTTTTTTCCCCCTGCGCAGGGGTTCTCAACCACGGGGAAGTTTCTTCGTGGAGGATTTCATATTTTCGTGAGAGAAGGGGAATGCAGTGAGCTCCTTTGAAGCTTTTTATTTAACTCTTAAGAATTAGTTTTAGTTTGTAACTATAAACAACTACTTTCACTCAAGTTTTGGTATTTGCCAATATTTTCTATACTTTTTCTTATTTAATTTATAAAACATACTGGAAAATAATCTAAATAAATGTATAGATGCACTTTATTAAGTTTGAAAAGGAGGAGGGAATGATATTCTAGCAATGGCGAAAGAGGTGCACGAGGCAAAAAAAAAAAAAAAGTTGAGAACAACAGATCTAGCGGAAGCTACTAAATAAGTTTATCCTAAAACTGCTGCTTCTTCGCTGGTTTATTTTAGGCAGTGTATTATAATGAACTTAATGATACACTGATTCTTACTCGCAAGTCATCAAGCATTCCTTCGATGTCCAAACATTTCTTCATCGCATGCCAGTACCTATAAATTCTGCATTCAGCGAAACCAGCATAAGGGAAAACAAGATGATGGCTGGCTGAAAATAAGAAAAGAAATTCTTTTTAAAGTTAAAACACAATATTTTTTATTTTATTTTAAATATATTTTGCTAAACATAAAATACATTCAGGAGAAATTTTAGGTTATTTTGTTTGTTATGTTTCAATTAAACTATCTAAAATTACAGTGGCCACTAGCGGCCACTGGTAGTTCGGTCCGGTTTTCGAATCTGAGCGAACGGGTTGGCTGATGGTAGTTTTCCCCATGTGTAAGGTGCATACGAGCCAGTTTCCCTTAGAAAGTTCTCCATGAAGACATCCCTTCCCTTAGGTGGCTAGTCCTCGAATTCTTTGCCGTAATCAAATAAACCAATACAAACTGAACTAAAGTTACAGCATTGTAAAGGAAGTAAGATTACTATATCGCTTCGCATTACTTCAAAAATTTGGACAGAACTAACATCTTTCTTCATATTTCTAAAGTATTGTTAAGAGCATTTTCCGCTCTAAATTGTTGTGATTGTCAGTAATTATAAAGACTGAAAAAAAAAAAATTGTGGTGTAAGATAGGTAGAGAATGGTAGGAACTGGTTCTCAGATGAAGAGCATCTTTCGAGAATGATGTCTGTTGCTTATATATATAGAATGTTGAACTGCTTGCATTTTAAAATTTGTTACAGAAACTGAACTCAGTGTAGACACCGAGTCTTGATATTTAGGTTTTCATGAACACTTTCATTTTGTGTTTACTAATCATATACAGATTTACATCTGTTATGTAACTTAAATTTTTTTGCTATTATTGTTTACAATGTATGTAAACATATTCCATGTGACAAAGACGCAGATGAGATATTTTAAACTCATAATGAAATACAATAGATTTCAAGAATACGCTTTTTGTTATGAACAAATAAAATAATGTTTTGCTAGAGCATGATTAAAATGGTAATCTGACCCAGAAAATCGTGATCGGAAGAAAAGTACATTTTTCACCAAAAACGAACTGTACTATAAGATATATCCACAGCGTTCTTATAACTGCCTTATTTAGAGGAAAAGTAGGGAAGACAAAAATCTCAGTTGGGCTGCAATTTTGTTACGCACAGGTAGAAAGACGTGTGAGAGATTGGATTAAGCTAATATTTAGTAATCTTAGGGTTATTATTATTTATGAATTAAGGCTTATTCTTTGTCTTTAGCTATTAGTGAAATTAAATGTACAACCCAGATTCATTTACAGAATTAAGTTGAACAAAAATGAATTCAGATAATACATTTTCATACTTTACGAGCTTATTACAAGTAAAGTATTTATTCTCGAATATTATTTAATTTACCTGAATGGAGTTCTTTTCTCCTTCCCGAGCATCAAACTTTTTATTTCGACATTGAATTATGAATAAAGAAGAGAAAAGAAATGATTGATTGAATTATTATATAAGGAAAAATTGATTTTCCTTATATAATAATTCACAGATAATGTACTTCAGTTATCTTTGCAGTTTACATTTAACTGAGGAATTCTCGTACAATTCTCAATTTAATTCAGTATGTCATGGTTATACATTACGGTTTTATATCATGGTTTATATATCATACCTATCATGATTTTATGAGTTTCCAGAGAACTTAGAAATTTAATTATGGTTTCATAAGATTTCTTGCGCTTTTTGCCATGTGTGACATGAATAAAAACTAGTTTCCTTCAAGAAGCCCTCCGCGAAGCCTCAATCCAATTACGCAAACAGCACTTGCATGCTTTGCCATAACCTAAATAACCCAATAATTTACGAGCTTATTACAAGTATAATAAACACTCGTAAAGTATTATTATGACTCGTAAAGTCATAATAATATTATGACTAGTCATAAACGAGTATTATTATTACTCGTAAAGTATTATTACACTCGTAAAGTATTATTATGAACTTTAGTTCGATTGCATTTTCAACTGGCTCAATGGAAAAGAGTAAGACGATGGACTTATTAACTATAGCTCGCAGAATACAGATGCAATTATATGTTTCTTATTTAGCAGAATATAGATGCACTTATATAGATTATAGATTCCTTTATATTCTGAATGTATTAATTTGTGTAATGTTCTTCCCCATACCTCGAACGCAATTTATGTGACGTTTGAATATATACTTTTTATGTCTCATGCATTTAAAATAAATGGTGGTAAGTTTCTTCAAACGCATTAAGAAGGAAGTGTACTTTGCTTAAAATTTGAAAAATCAAAGGTTTCTTTTCTTTTAATATGAAAAGAACAAATCCGTGTATTGCAAAATTATTTACCTTTTTTTACTGGAAACTTCAGATAAGTATATTGCTCTTAAATATAACAAGCTAGTAACAAACGGATATGTGAATGTGTGTGTGTATGTGTATACATATAACATACGCAGAATTACTTCTGAAATAGACAAGAAAGTTATAAATATTTTACTTACGCCAGCATGGATCAGCCATATAGAAAACTGTAAGTTTAGCACATTTCACCAAAAAATCCGCTCCGACTCTGAGAGCACCAGTCCCACCTACAGTCTGCACCCCGAATGCCTGAATAAAAAATAAGTGGTCAGTTTTCGAAATAAGAACAAGTGCAGCTACTTCTCTTTATACTCACTCTTTTAATTAAAAAGATTCTTCGTTTCAGTTTTTTCAATAGACGGACTTTGTTATGAATATTAAATATTGAACAAAATACCAAAATTTTCGGAAATTACGAAAATCATTCTGAGAGAATATGGAATTCTAAAACCATTTTGACATAACAGGTAACTACAGCATAGAATCTTTAAATAAGTTCTCGTAACATAAATAACAAATCATCATAAACGAGAAATAACTCTAAGCGGGGGAGATTTAATTACTTTTGATTTATTTAATGTTAATTAACATGACTTATTAATTTCATGACTGATATTTACCTTTGATTTATTTAATGATTGATATTTACCTACCTTTCTTTTATTTAATGTTTTTCTCTTATCATCAAATGAATTAAAACATGACTTTTAAAACGCAACAGTCCTTCTTCTCCTTTTTAAAATAAACCATAATAAAAGGAAAATACAGAGATATTTACAAAAAATGAGATTGATATTATAAAGTGCTTCACGCGTTGAACTGAGATAAGTCTCTCTGTGAACCTCTGTGCTTGTTGAAAAACTCTTTTCTTTAGGTATGAAAGAGTACAAGTTGCGTTTTAAAAGCAAATTTTAATCTCTAATGTGCAGGGCCTTAAAATTGATCTCAAAAAAACAAAACAAAATGACTTACCAGATAGGTCTATGACCCAGAATACAATAGAACAAATGCGTCAAAAAAAAAAAAAAAAAAAAAAAAGGTAAATTAAAAGTAAAATCTCTTAGGCTAACTTGCTGCCTTTTTACGTTATTAGCTTGTTAATAACAATACAACTGAATAAACTATGCGTAGAATTTCTTAAACTTAATTTTATATATTTTATATCATAGAAAAATAGATTCTTAATTTTTTAATTTTTCTTTTTGCTGAAAAGAGTGATGAAGCATTAGTTTTAGAATATACGTCTTGCATTTTCTGGAAGGGGGACGTTGTTTTGGAAAGATATATGAACTTACTCTGTTCTTTTTCAGTGCTATACAATCATTTCCCAGCAGAAGCTTTGTGGCAGCTTTGCTCAACTCTTCAAGGCCCAGCTGTCCTAGATACTCGTGGCTTAGGTTATTTCCGGATGTAATTTCTTCCTCCACTTGTCTTACAACTGGCAAGACCCATGGTCTTCCTTCCTCATCACGGTATGCTAAAGAGAAAGATTTGATTAAAGGCATGAATAAACATGTTTAAAAAACACATAATAAAATATCATCAGCAAGCCTAATGAAAAACAATTGTGAAAAAAAGCTTTTCTTCAGGGTAATGGAAGCAATCAGTCATCAATGTAACACTGAAATAAATCAGTCACTTTTTTACCTGTAATTGTTTCCATTATTTCATGAAACAAGAAGAGCAAATATGACTTGAGGGAAAATTACTGTAGCAAGCCCACTACAGATTACATGTCCACAGAATGATTTAGCCTCAGTATTTAAACGAATTACTTTTCTGAGGAATTGCCAATTCGGTTTTTCTCCTCGACAAATATAAATACATTTACACATACGGTTTCTCTTTATTAATAGCCCAATCAAAGGCTGACCCGCTAAAATTTTCATGTCTACGTTTTCTTAATTCTTTCTTTATTTAGTTTTTACTAATTTGCAAAGCCTTGAGAGAGTGTATGAAATGATGAGAAAGAAAATCGATTGAAAGAATACATTATATTTAACTGGTTAAAGAAGCAAAAAACTTTATGATTTTAGGCAATGATATAAGTATTTCTGGGAGCAAAAAAGCGAAAATATGATGTTGAAAGAACTGTGGTCACAAAAACCTTAAATTGTATCTAAAGCGCGCAAATACCAGTTATAAATGAAATACTTCTAATTATTAATTTAACCTATATATTGGTTGTTAGAATGACCATTAACAACTAATTAAATGAGTTATTAGTAAGCAACACAAATCTGATAATATAGAAAACCCTTACTCTCAGCGATATATAACCATATACAACTCAGGAGACTCAGCGATATATAACATATATAACCATATACAACTCAGGACACTCAGCGATATGTAACATATATAACCATATAAAACGTTGCATGAACGAAAGATTACTGGCCATCAGCTGCGGCCAGATGTTGAATACTCTATTTGTTGCTTTCTTTTCGAGGTAACACGCCTCGCACGGGAAATTTGTTTAATTATTATTATAATTATTATAGAATCTTTCAGAGGATTCTTTGTATTATCTATCAACACATTTTTGAATCAATTCGCATTTTAGTTACAACTACAGAGTGCTCTGACTAGGCCAGATGTAATTACGATCAGCGTGTACTTCTGTTGGAATATGAATTATTCACCTTGCTTTAGTTTATTGGACCGAGAAATTTTATTTCAAGCTCTCATTTTAGTCTATTACTGACTAAGCAGTAAATATGCGACTCAAGAGACATCTTCAGTTTTTAAAAGGTACTTGTGCTGTAGAAAAACCAACTTTTCGGCATTAAAATTTGATTTCTGGGATTATTATCTAATATGGGAAACCTCATGAAAGGAGCAACATAACCGCCCAACCAGGACAGTGGTTAGCGACACTGACTGCGGTACAGAAGGACCACCCGGGTTCAAATCTTGGAGAAGCCATGGATGTCTGCAAATGTATAGAGTCTGTGCGGCATGGGGGCACTCTAAATATGCAAATCCTTTCTATATAGAATAATTTCTACATAGAATCTTTCTAAAGTTCTTTCTAGAGGTTGGTGGTAGGAGAAGAGGGGTGGCAGAGCACCCCCCCATCAAAATTGGAGGCGGAATTAAGGACCGTTGTGCTGTCACCTGTATGGTGCTCAAGGATCTTGCCAACGATAGGCACAATCTTGCACTCCTTGTCGGAATGAATTTCGTGGGCTTGTTCTGATATTACTGCCAGAAAAGTGAGATAAGTCATGAAAACAAGGAGCAACACACTTCAATACAAAACAACAGTAATCCTTTTTGGTTATAATCAGGGCAAAGCAACGAAAGCTGTCTGGCAAGGAAGTAATGACTTCGAGGAGGACTTTTTCAGGTATACCAGCTCATATTCCTATTGCATGCAGAGAGAAATCGCAAAAATGTTCACGCAGCAAATACGTTCAGCAAGACCAAAACTCAAGTCGGACTACAAATGTTAAGGAGTCTTATTCAACAGGCCACTGTTAGGTTTACAGCAGTAAAATAATAAGAAACTGTTTATAGTTCAACGGAACTTGCAGAGGAATTTTGAAGGTTCAAAACGTCATTCTTTTCTACGCTACTCTAGACGACATTTATCTCCATCTAGAGAACATATAAAAAATAAGTTCGTTAATATAAAATTCTAGTAACATAGACTTGAAACACTCTCATTTTCATTCTTTCAGTAGACTAAAAATGCTGTCCTTGAATAAGGAGAACTATGTGTTAATTTGACTTGACTATGTGTTAATTTCTTTAAAAAAAAGGAGAAAAGGGGGAAACGAAAAAAAATCAAGTTTTCTAACAGAATAACTAGTTACAAATACCTCATATTGCAAACCAATATTATGAAATATTTGAATTTTGATAAACAGTTTATTTGTTTTTATAAAAGTTTCCGTCCGAAACTAATATAAATCTTGCATAGCGTGAATAAAGCTTCTTAATGATTACAAAAGTAAAACTTTCTGCCGAAATCTATGAGATACTGGTTATTTAAAAATTCTGCTGCATTTGCAGTGACTTACAATATTTAAAATTCGAATTAAATTTAAATATCACTTACTAATCTGTCATAATATTGCTTTTTATACAGGCAACTTATTAGTATATGTTGGTCATGTGCTACTAATATGATCAATTAAGGAGAAAGTTTATATTTGCTTTTTGGCATCTTTAAATGTCAGCTGAAGGAAAAAAAGCATTTACTAAGCAAACGCCCATGAAAAATTATAATTTTCGTTTCCCGTAATATATTCCTCTAATTTGACATTATGAATACTTTATCTTAAATAAAAATTAAATTAGTTGTCGTCCACCTATTTTTTTCAAACTCAGAAGTAATGAACATTTAGAAGAATCGTATGCTGACAATTGCGGCGCAAGAATTTTTAACGGTGTATTTTTTTAAAACTTTTAATAGATAAATTCTTCAACTCCGGATATTAAATATTTTTATTCACTTTAATTTAATATACAGTCAGCCATGAGAACTGCTGTGAAATTGTCATGTATAACAACATGGGGAAGGCTGAGAAAAGTCTGTGGTTTCTTGAATTTAATTCATTAATGGCTCATCGCAATAAAACTGGATTTATGCAATTTTTGTCTAAGCTATCATATTACAGTTAAAAGGATCATTATTTTTCATCCTTTACAAAATTCTGCCCAGGCGTTGTTTATAACTATTCATATATAAATGTTGTTTATAACGCTCATTCTGTCCTATCACATAATATACATGCTTCTGGCAAATATAAGGAAAAAAAAAAACCCAGCTATCACATAAAATACATACTTCTGGCGAATATAAAGAGCTAAGTAATTCCCTAACCTCAATATTTTGCTCTTTCAAACGACGCGAGCTTTAAGGGAGATTGCGTAATATGAATGAAGTTAAACGACCTGCGAGAAACTACAGAAATGTATTACTACTTACTCGCTTTGTGTGACCTTTCCTGCCACAAGCTGTAAAAACATTTGATTCCAGTCACGCGTTTAACCAAGTTTTTTTCTCACTTACAAACAAGATTCAAGATTTGTTTACACAATTACGGATTTCAATACTTGGGTAGTCGACTCTTCAGGAATGATTACTTTTAATTTAGAGTATAATGTTAATCTCTTTTTTCCATTTCAGCAGACAGCTTTTCCGGTTGTGTAACGTCCAAGTTAATTGCGATGCGTTTGACCTCTAAACGTGCAATATCAATGATAGTAGATTCCGTTGCTTGAGGAAAGTAGATTTCTTTTGCTTTTGCATTTCTTTAAGGTTTTTACATTTCTTTAAAATATGATCAAGTTAGGCCAACTCTTCTGCGGGTAGAAAAGTGAGAGAAGATGAATCTTACTTTTAGTTCTTGAAATTTATATTAATTATATTAATTTATATTAATGTCAACATAATTTATGTTTTACTGATAATGGAATTATATTTTCATAATTTATGTTTTATTGATGATGGAATTACGTTTTCTTCTATGCGGGACGGAATTTTATATTAAGTTCAGATTTTATAGTTCCCCCCTGCTTTTTTTAAACTTAGCTACATTTTGTAACCCAAATAAGTTTATAATTTTTCATTTTATAACACATTTTCTAAACAAATCACTGCATTAAAAAGCTTTTAATTTTACTTTAAAAACACGCATTTTAATTGCATAAATTTTTAAGGAAACGCAAGATCCGGACAGTTATGTCCCTATTTTTTAGAAACAGTTAATCATTTGCCCACAGTGGGACTAAAAAAGGGCAAGAAATTTGATAAAATTTATTCTTGTTTTAAAGGCTAAAGTCAGTATCGAATAATGAAATGAATGCCAGGATTTCAGTCTCTTTTTAAATTTTTTTGACTTCATGCAAAGACATCATAGAATTTGATATGTTAAAAATCCAGCCATAATTAATCTTACTTTTCTTCTTCTTTAATATGTTTGGATTTCAAGAAACAATATTTTTTTATGATGTTTATATTGTGCTATTTTACGGAAGGTAATTGCAATAAATAACATAGCTGTGCTTAATTAAGACATATCTGTGCTAACAAGAACCCAAAATAATTTGCTTCATAGTTAAATAATAATATTTGCAAAGAACATATGTCTTCTATCTATTGACATTTCTATCTATGTGCGACTCATAATTTGCCTTCGAATTCTTTTACTGATGAAGAAGCAGACCTGGAAAGACATTTAGACTTTTTAGATAGACGAACGCATGCAAAAGGAAATGTAACAGTTCTTACAAACTTATCTTTCAGTTTTGCCTGCTTAAAATCATCAATCATTTGAAAAAGAAGAATTCAAATTCTATCACACGATTTCCTCTAATATAAATGATTTTAAGCATTTCAATGTCATAGTCCAATATGTCCGTGCAAGGAAGGAATCATCTGCATTAAGCCTCGTCGTGGTCTCTCTCTCGTCGTAGTTCTAAGACCTCCAAAGAAGGAATCTAAAGCTGGAAAACATATACTAG